CTAAAAATTAAGTTTTAAGACGAGCTTTAAAGATGGGCAGCGCGGGGCTTGCTGAATGTTCATCGGGAGGTCATTCCAAAGAGTGGGAGCTTCAACGGAAAAAGACTCCACCCGCTTTGAGCCTCCGCTTAGTTCTTGCTACCTCTAATAGTGTCTGGTCCGCAGACCTGAGGCAGTGGGCAGGGGTCGGAGGGGCTTACAGAGCTAAGGTGGGGCCTGGCCATTTAAAGACTTGAAAACAAATCATAGGATCTTCAAAAGAGTACCAGTCAAGATGCGAGAAGCGGCATTCTGGACCAACTGGAGATTCTTAATGGAGGATTGGCTGACTCCAAAGTAAAGTGCATTCCAGTAATCCAGCAGAGATGTGACGAAGATGAAAGAAGCTGGATCAAGCAGCGGTTTCTTGAAGAAACAAGAAGTACTTCAAGTGTGAGGCAGGTCACTCTTCACCTTCCAGCATCTATATAAGCGTCTTCCTAGCCTGAATGATCCTGCGTTAGCTTGCAAACGACATTCTAAATAGAACATATGAGCAAAAACAACAACGAAAAACAGCAAAGAGCCTCTCGAGCTGTGTCTAGACGAGTCGTGACACACACACACGCACACAAAACTTGTCTTGCCGTGCACTGAATCAAGCTGTAATGACCCCGACGACCTCTGGTTCACTTATATAAGAAAAGCTTACACAAGCAGCGACACCACGAGGAGCAGACAAATATAGCTCAGCCAATCTTTTCGCCTGTGTGCGCGCGCGAGCGCGTGTTAGATCAAGTGTGTGTATATCTGAAGATGCGCCTGGGAGACGGGTGGATGCAGACAGGCAGAGATCGGGGAGGAGGTGCTGGAGAAGTGAGCAATTTGTCATCTGGCGGCAGCTTGAATGTAGAAACCGTTTGGGCTGTTTTTATTCAAGTACTTTTTTGTTAAAAAAAAAACATTCTGCAGTAGAACCATCAGTGATGTAAACGTGAAGTAAATGCAGCAAATTATTGGGAGAACAGAGAACGCACTCAAGGGAAGGGGTTGGGGGGGGTGGGAGGAGTGGAGGTGTGGGTCTGACTTAAACAGCAGAAGGCCTGCGAGAGCTACTTCCACACTTCAAGGGCTTTTGTGACAGCGAAGCGACACCGTTCTCAGCACCGTCAGCAGTTTTGCTTGTGAATGTGTGTGTGCGTGTGTGTGTCTATCCACAGGGAATGAAAACTCCCTGTTGTTGCATGAAGCAAGGACAACATACAAGTGAAAGGACGCGCACATTGAGCCACATATCCACCTGGCTCTTGTGGATCGCTAACTGCCCACAACATTAGGTACACTTGCACCATCCAAGAAGCTGTGTCAAAAATAATTAGAAGAGCCAGGAAAAACCTAAGAACATTTGCCTGTGCGTATCGCTGCATGCTCTGTTTGTAGGTGGGACACTTCCAAGGGTTTCCAAGTAGCATTTTTTTTTTTTTTTTTTTGGGAAGGTATATGAATATTGTGACATCAATGATAACTTCCATGACCGCGTCGAGAGGATTTTGCACTGTATGTGTGTGTTACGTTTTTAGTGTTGACACATTTTTTTCAGCAAACTTCAGCTGAGAGCGACAAATGGTTTGAAGCAAGCACGCTGCGCTTCTAATTCGGAGAACTGTGTGAGCGAGAGAGTAAGAACAGGTGCTCAGAACACATGTGAGTGATCAATCTATTTTTTTTTCCAGTATGACTGCATATGGCGGATTTTTGCCGAAGGGTCTGGAATGTACCGCCCATGTTTTTCTTATATACGCTACATTTATATGTATTGGAGGATTGTGTTTTTGTTTCGTTCTTACTTTGGGATCCATTACTGTATTTTAATAAGGTACGAGTGTATTAACAGATGAGAACTCATTTATAAGGAACACACACAAAGACATTTATCGATAATCTATTCCTTTTTTTGTATTTTTATGTCTTTATGTGTTGAATAAATCAATTCATGAAGATAAATGGGAGTTTGCCTTTTGTTTTATTGTCATGGATTGGAGACGCGTTTTCTCATTTGCCTCGACTCTCACACGAGGCTAAATAAGATACCATGAGGACCAAAATGCGCCAAGCGCCTCTCAGTAATTGGGGCTGATGACTTCTACAGCAAGATGGAAGCGCTTGGCTATCATGAAAACAAAACTGCAATTTCCTTCATTTCCTTTTCATCCGACACAGTAGTTGCAGATGAAAGTTTTGGGTCTCGGTTATAAATAGAGCGTATCCTCAAATGACATTTTGACCATTTCACATGAATATGTATGACCGCTTCTGCAGCGATGCGCTGCCGCAGTCATTGCTTTCTTTTTTTAAAACAAGTCCACATTCGCACATACAATCCATTTAACAACATGCAAATGAGAGGGAAAATGAGACGCTGTGATGAAACAAGTAGCCAGAGGGCTCATAGCGAGTAATAATAGTACATTTTTACTCTCTTGGTTGAGGTTAGCAGCCTCTCAGGAAATTAACATCTCCTCGAACCTCTCCATAAGGAAGGTACTTTCTGAATTATTGGAAGACAAGAGTTTTACTCCTGTTACTTCAATGCAATGTGGTTATGCTTTGAAAACGTGTCGACTTTGCTCCCCAAGAGCAAGTGTGGCGTGACAGAGTCGCAGAGGGAGAGTTAACCATCTCTGAAGTTGTCCACCTGGCAGCGGCGGAGGGATTTACAACAATATGTGAGCCCTCATGCGCAACGTATCGCGGTTGCGAGGTCAGGAGCAGCCATTCCAAGTCATTTTCTTACTTGGGCGTCAGAAAGCCAAAAGGTGTCCCACTGGAGACCCTTTCGTTATTTCTGATGCTGGATGTGTCAATGCCCGATAAAAGTGGTCCAACAAAACATTCTCGAGTGGGAGTCGGCCTTGCTCTCAGTGTCACGTCACAATCAGGTCAACGCAAAAGTCAACTGCCGTTTGAACAATATAGAAGATGCAATTTTTGGCATTCGTCAAGAGTTCAAGTCGGCTACGCTTACAAACACACCAAATTTGAACATGATCCAAATAAAGCTGACCTATGCTCCCCCACCCAGAAGAACTCTTCAGGAATTCATTATCGATAAAGAACATACTGAACCAACACCAATAGCAACCCTTCATAAAAATGTCTGAGCATCTGGAAAAGTGCTATAAGAATCTACAATCACTATAATTGATTATTGTCATTGATTACCGAGCAGCCAACGCGTACGCTAGTTGTTTTCCAGGAGGAAACCTTGTTGATGCAAACGTCAGATCAATTAAAGTGCCGTGCAAACCACCATGGCCACGAATTGCAAAAACACAATTCACTTGTGTCCACCTGCACAGTCTTACACTCTCATGTAATTGCCTGCAGATGCCAACTCATCTCAACATACTTTCTTGACGCCAATAAGCAAAAAAGGTGGCACTAAAGCCCAAACTTTATTGTTTCTACATTCGCATGCTTGTAATCCCCTCTATTAACTGAGAAGCCATTGTTTCTCATACTATCCGCCATCAGGGTTTCGTGAACGAAAAAGCGCACACATGCAGAAACCTGTTCAACGCATTCATAATACATAAGTCAGCATGTAATACGAGCAGGGAATAAGTAGAAAGCAACATTCCGAGTGATTGATTGTCACACACACCATTTTGCATGCTGCGTTCAAATTCTAAATAGCAACGGGGCGGGGGGGCTTCCGAATTCTGTTCATGCTGGCCCCTATCGGTGATGTTGCCGTGGACTCGCTGACTCGGCTTTTAATGACGACGACCACAAACAGATAAGGGCCGTCATGTGTAAGCATGATAGGAGCCTCGGTGACAGTCGCTGCTGCTAAACGAAGGAGCAAAGCAAGCATAAACAAACATTCCTGCATCATCCGGGAAGCCGTGATGGGTGAGGAAGAATGTCAACACACACGTGCACGCGCGCGTGCGCAAACACACACACACACACACACACACACACACACACACACACACACACACACACACACACACACACACACACACACACACACGGTTAGGGTGAATGTGGTGGCACTCAACAGTAAAGTGCAGCCATCCCTGGTTGGCTCATAGGACACACATTCACTCAGTGGCAGAGTGTCACACCACATGATTTATGACGGGCAATTATGGTTATGGAGGTGACATCATATCCTACTCACTGGCTCCCCCATGTATCCACAGTGTGTGTGTGTGTGTGTGTTGTGTGACTCATTAGTTATGCTGTCTGGATACAGCAGGAAAAGTATCTTTGTTTTTTTTTTTTTTTTCCTAATCACAAGAGGGAAGACAAGACATGTCACAACAACATAGCTCAGAGTTCCTCCAGACGTGCAAATGCACATACACAAAAATACGCACAAATGGAGCCCACAAAAAACGGTGTCACAGAACAACTTTTCCAACTCAAGATCAATACTTGACCTAATCTAAGAACACAGCCGACAATGGTTTCTTTTGGGGAAAGAAAAAAAAAAAAAAAACAAGCAAAAAGCCACGCCAGCAAAGACGAGATCAGCCCAAAGGAAAGGAGGACACAGACAATTTCATTTCAAGGATTGACAGAATTTAGAGTTGCGTCTTCAGGGTAGTGCCACAACATGCAGCGTAACGAGGAGCAAGAAGAAGAGGCAGGGAAGGTCCCCAAACTACTGCAATATGCTCCATTTGCATGTGTTGCTGCTCAGCATGCATTGTTGAAACGGTTCATAATGACAATAACATCTAGGCTCATGTATGTTAGCCTGTCTATGAGATTTCCAATTCTATGTTAGCATTGAGCTAGCAGACTTTCATTAGAAAAAGGAAATGACATTTTTTTGGTTGAAAAATGTGGCTTGTATTATGTGTCTGTCGTACAGTAAACTTCAAAGTGATGTCATGTGACATCCAAAAAGTGTTTCAAACGGTTTCCCTATATCAGGTTTTCAGGTCTGCAACATATCCCCTGTGATCAATGGTCGCGACAAAAAAACAAAAAAAAGAGCTTACCACGTTCGGCTCATAGTCTGGAGGTCCTGGATTCCGAGCCTGGCTCATGTCTTCTTGTTTGGACCATGCATCTGGTTTCCTGCATTCCAAAAAAAAAAAAAAGGTGTGAATAGATTTTCTGTCTATATGTGCCCAGTGAATAATTGGCGGTCGCCAGTGGAGGCCGCTGCCAAAATAATGCATATGCTGTAGAAACTTGCAAAAGTTGGCTAATACTATTCATGTTGATTCACTCCAAATATCCAATTAGAAGTCTTCCACGCCGCTTTGGGCAGTCTGGAGGCTCACAGAGTCGGTCATGAGTGGAGTTTACGTGCAGAGGTCAGTGAGGTGTACATGGCAGCAGGCTTAATAAGCCAGTTTGGGAAAACAAAAGGATGAGCAAATGCATGCGAGTCATCGTGAGTGGTTTCATCTTATAGCAGTCAGTCCTAGCCACGGGCGCTTCATCCACACACAGGCTTCAAAAGTCCAAATTTGAACTTGAGGGAGCAGCAGCCTCCCCCCACAGCCCTCCCCGCAAAAAAAAATAAAAAAATAAAATAAAAAAAATCCAAACAGCCTCTTTGTCTTGAAAGTTTCCAAAGAGCGGCATTTACATACGCTTTACAAATCCCAACACATCCCCGCCTCTGACCCATCAACTGTTTTAACTAAAGTGACCCGACTTCTGCAGCTTTCCGCCCCTGGGCTCAAATACAATTTAGAAACTTCACAGGCCGACTTGAACGAGCAGACCCGCTGGCCTGCGCCGAATCCTTCGCAAGGTCATTCAGAAATAATTCATATCGCCAGAACAAGTTACTGGGCTGATGGCCAAATGTAGCTTTCTGCACGCAACTCTATGGAGCAATTTGATGTTTGTAATTAGAAAGTCAAGCATACTTCATCTTACTCGTGTTCCAGTTTCCAGTCTGCCTTTTTCATGCCGTGCCGTCCACTTTGATGCGTCATGCACTCCTCTCATGTCTCGGCATGAGAATGGGCCCCCTGCAAAGGTGCATAGTTCTCTGTAAGACACAATCACGGATTCATACAAGTTATTTTCATTTTTCATCTTATTATAGGATACTTGCCAAAGTCGTTTTAACTTACTGTCCCGATATCAATTAAAAATAAAAAATACCAATGCGCATGCTCAGATTATTATTTTATTTCATTTTTTTTTTAACTCAACCAGGTCCTTTACTGTGTAAATGCAGGCCCAAAGCTGTGCTGACAAATTTTAAAGGAGATCTGAGATATAAAATCAGCCTTTGTTTTCATGTGTCAATTTTGCTACCACGTTAAGAGGCCTGCTTTGACTGTGACAAGCACTTTCACGGCACCCTTCCAGATGGAAAAACTCCCAGTGAACTTGTGTTTTGACAATGCATCATCGCCCTTTCCCTCCCATAAAAAAAAAACAAAACAAAAAAAACAATGAGAACATCTCGTAAAGCCCACCAGACTTGGGGATCTGCGGGCAAAACCATCAGAGCTCTGAAAGCCAACTCACATGTGGAAATGAACTAAATGTCTGGCGAGGTCGACCTCTCACTGAATCTCGAGCCTCCTACGGTTGTGCTTATGAGAATGTTTCATGTGAGCAGTCAGCACTGATCCACAAGAGGTCAAACATCCGAACTCGTTTGTACAGATGTGCCTGCATCCATCTGCTTTTGACAGCCTTCCAGCACCTCAATGCACCGATAGAGTTGTGATCTTACACACAATAAGGGAGATGTGTAAAAAACTCCAGTAGTTCATCAGATCGTCTAATGTTCACCTTGACGAGCTTGTTAACTTGGGCTTAATAGGAACAGATTTTGAACATAACATCATTAAATAGAGTGAAAAGATTTAAACAGTATGGTGTTCCGCAGGGTTCAACTTTAGAGGCCCTGCAGTTGTCATTGTATTTGTTGTCCCTGGGCTACCTGCCGGGTGCCTCAGGTCTGTGAGCCAGATGTAAATGACTCAGTCGGATGAGGTAATAGTCATTTTTCATAAGGGGTAAAGAATACTGTCTGTTTCTGTTTTGCTTTACCATTGATGAAAATGCCATTAGAATCATGCTTCATAAATCAGATACATTTGAGTCCACATCATAGTCGTCACAATGCCGTTAACGGCGAATATCGGTCTGTCATTAAACTTACTGGGTTACTCATCAGGGAAGTGTTTGTGTTCAAAAAAATGCCGCGTCAATTTATTCAACAGATGTTGGCCCTGAAAAGGAGCGAGAGCTTGCTACGCCACAGGAGGCGTCAAAAGTGATGGCCAAGATTCAAAAGCGACACGGAAACATGCCGTTTGTCTTGACACGGCGACCTCAAAGAATTGCGATGCTCGCACCTGCTGGTTTGCGGCCGCATGCATTTTTAATGACAAATCCTCGCTGCTACTTCCGTTCCACTGTGTTGGCCCCAGCTCAGTGGAAGCTGAGTGTTCAGATGATGACAACTGTCCGTGGAGATGATGTAATTTAGGTTGTGTCACAGCAACGCTGACACGTTTTAATTTTAGCACTGCGGGCTGCATGTAGGTCGCCGTCTGCAACTGCCTGACCCACTCAGCTCTCTCTTTCAGCGCCATGAAAAAACACATCCCCACTTGAAGAATCATTTGAGTGAGCTGTGCGATGAGATTGTTGGATAGGCCCCGCACACTATTTTTAGACTCTTTCTTGGGCTTACACAACGGCCGCTTTCTTCGCTCCACTCCTCACAAAACGGCTTGAACACAGTGCCGTGACGGCCTTTTGAGAAATTTGGATCCAAGCCTCCGTGTTCTCAGAACTTGTTTGGAGCCTTTCAGGCGCACGGCGGCACACAACACCTACCAGCATGACTCACGGGCGGTTGGAGCGCAGCGCTCAACAATGAGTTGCATCGTGCGCAGTACGCCGTGTGGCATGAGGTCTAAATGACTCCAAAAGTTTGAGTGGAGGTGGACTCGTCCGATTTTCTTCTTGCGCCTAAGAGCCTCCATCTGTGCTCGTTGTGAAGCTCTGAGGCCATTCGCAGCGGTGCATGACTCCACATTCCCGTTTGCATTGGCATCAACAAAACAGTGATGCACGTTGGAAAGTAACGCGCTACTCCAATAGTTCCTTTTTTTTTAACATGAACATTTTGGTAGGAGTGACAAAAAGCTTGAAGCGAGCACACTTAGTCTCTAATTTGGAGAACTGTGTGACTGAGGGAGTGAGAATGCTAAATAGCTAACGAAAGGTTTTCTTTTTTACAAATTTCATAGTGTATGCTCACAACAGTGTTTTCAAATCATTAAGTGCCAGTCTGCGGTTTATGGAGCTTTAATGGGGGCACTACCCTGTTTATCAAGAGCCTGAGGGGGGGAAACATGGTCCCGGTCCACTCCCGCACACTATTTAACCTCAGCCTAACCGTCCACTATTGGATTGTACCATCATGTGCCGAGGCCCGGTCTAGCCTATTCTAGCAAACATGAGAAGTAAACAAAGTGCTTTGTGCGGAGCCGTTTCAGCAGCTGACAACATCGCTGATCATATCAAACCCCTGAATTCGGAGTCACCACATCAGACATTTTTGCATCAGGAAATAGGATGTGTTTATGGATTTGCTTTTTTTTTTTACCACCCTGAGAGGCAAAAGGAGTCGAGACATACGTTGGGGACAGGCACCGCTTGCTTCTTTGCACGTGGTTGTATTTATGCATCAATGTTCCATTTGAACTTCTGCTCTTATCTCTATTCTGTGCACCACAATGACATTTTGTATAAATCTGGCCCACGGCATCAGAAAGCCGTCACAACAGTTTGTGCATTTCTTTCGACGCATGTGCATTAGAACCGATGAATGGCTATAAAGTGCCGAGAAGCGCGGCCGTTGCGGTGACTCCAACTGCCCCCCCCCCCCACACACACACACACACACACACACACACACTTGATGTTTATCTCATCTGGTATCGGAGGGCACATGCAGGTTATGTCGTTGAGCGTAAGAAGCACTGCACTTACATTGTAAAGCAGCTGTATGACATAGTAAGATTTTTATCGGTGTCTGGCCGGCTCGTGCTTGCAAACTTGACGGTTGTGTTTTTGAACTCCGCCTCAAAAGGGGAAAAGCTTTATTCAGGATCAACCGAAGGCATAATCAGGGCTGTATTGTGACTCGTATCGTGCGGCAAAGTTAATTGAGGCAACAGTTCATAAATAATGGACAACACGTTTGTGTAACAACTTGGACATAAATAATGCTCATCTAAAGTGCTACGTTGACCTTATCGTTTTCATAAAAGGAACAAAGGTGATCCAGACACAGTCTGTAGGAATAATAAGGAAAAAAAAAAAAACCCCAAACAGCGGGTCACATTTTCAGATGTCCCATCCACATTCAATGTTCTCAGAAGCTTGACTCAGTGCAATGAGTCATCTGCAACCAGCACGTCAAGGAAACCTATCATAGAAATGCAGAATGCCAATGCCATGAGGCACAGGTAAGTCCCCTTCCTGTGAATGGAACGAAATAAATCCGTTGTAACTTGTTGCTAGTGAAAGGTAGGTGCGGGTACGCCCAGCAGTCACAACCTGTGCTGCCACAGTTACCTTGGGTGGGGGGGGGGGCAGGGGGGGCATGTGGTTACTTACCCGATTAAGTGCTTTTTTTGTTTACTTCTATTGTCAACTATTGCCATCCCAGAAGGTAGTCATCCGTTCGACCAACTTGGCTCTGTCACAAAGTAACACAATTTCATCTTTGAACGGTCGCTAGAATCACACTACTTCATTGGATGCAGTAAAACATGACATAACTAGTCATTTAGTATTTACCTGTCACGTTGCAAAAAGCAGGCAAGAGGGAGGAGCAGGGTGTACTTGACAGATTGTTTTAAAACATAGAGAAAACTAAATCCAAAACAAAGTCCAAAGTATCAAACAAAAATCATGACTGAAGCTAAAACATAAGAGTGACCGAAACAAACCTGACAGCCGTAAACAAACAGCAGCAAACAAACAGCAAACAACGACCCGAGCGCGAGCGGCCGGGCGGGAGTCCTTTTAAAGAGCTAATGACATAACGACCAACAGGTGTGCAGCTGCAGGGAGAGCCCTACAGTGCCACCTGTTGGTCACAAGCCGAAACATGACATTACCAGCATCACAGTATTATTGACACAATCTATTCCAAGCCATATAATAGTAATATGAGAAGTGTTTCAAGGAAACGAGGGGGGCATTAGACTGTGTAGGTGCACCTCATGCTCTGGCCCGTGATGACCCGGCGCATCGTATCTCACTTGCTAATTGCTGTAAAAACTGGATTGGCATCTCTGGCCCGCTGACCCACAAAAGGAGACAAATCAACAAGAGTGAGCCAGTGAAGGTCAAGCACAGCATCCTCTCCTGAAGTCACTCCTGTTGACACGCATACATTTGGATGAAGAGGGCACTCGACATCACATCGTGTCAAACACGCCTCACGCACTACTTCCCGTCTGACGTCAAGCTTATTGAAGACATCCGGCGGACGATGTCTTTGGTACGTTGACCGTGCTGTATCTTTCTCATTAGCTAGCCCAGAGATGTCCCGGCACTCGCGACACACACACAGACACACACACACGTACACACAGGGAGAGTTGGAAATAATTACCATTGTCTCTTGTGGAACAGGGCGTAAATTGATACACACTAAATACTGCACCTTAGGGGTCTCTTTCTCGTCATATGTAGCAGACAAATGAATGCATCCAGAAGGAATTAATTGGATTTGGGAGCAGACTCCGGCACGAGCACTAGGACAGACAAACACACACACACACATACACACAGTCACCTCATTCTCCTCCTTTATTCCAGTCATGCCTCGCAGAAATGTCTGCTCCCACCCCCACCAATGGATCAGTCTGCGTCCCTTATTACACACGCACACACACGCACACGCACACACACACACACGCGCACATACGCGCAATGGCACGCTCGTCCCAAGAGAATTGCAGCCTCTCCGGCTCTCTCTTGGATACAGTGTTACCATGGCAGCCACGTTTTCTGCACGTGTAGTACGAGACGGGAGCGGGTGAATGAGACCACACCTATCGATTCGCCAGCTGCCGATTGATTCACAGTCTGATACGGCCGAGCACAGCAAGCACGCACGCGTGCATAGTCACTCTCACCGAGCGGGCTTTTAAATGAAGGGGCCGTGGTAGAATGTGATATCGCTTGAAAGGAAGACAAGGTAAGGCATGTTGCACTTTTCAGTTCCAGCTGATTTTATTTCCTTCTCGGAGGAAAAAGAAATACAAATAAAAACAACAATCTGTACAGAGGTCTGAGAGGCAGTGATTGACCCAAAACATTGGCTGCTTTTTTTTTTCTTGTCATAAACAACAAAACAATATTGGCATGATTGGACACAACATGGTCATACACAGCATATTGCACAAATGAAAAGAAAACAACAAAACAAAAACAAAACAAAAAAAAAATGTTGAAAAATGTCTTGGAAAAAGAGAAACTCCCGGACCACAATCATCTTCAACGTGTCCAAAGATGGCCGTCCTAGTGCCTGTCATTGATCATCATCATCGTCATCATCATACATAAAACACACAATCTTTGCTTATAGTACAGTCAGTTTACATAAATATCTTCATGTTATTTTTCTTTTAAAAATCTTAAACACAACAGCTATAGCTACATATACCTGAATCTGAAATACAAATGCTATTTGCCATGCCATAATATAGGAAAAAACAATTAGCCTTTTGCTATACTTAGCCAACAGGTACAGAAAGGTTAAATACTATTTTGGATGCGTTTTTGCGCGAGAACAGATGAAAGCACTTCATACACCTTCTTCCCTCCAAAGTCCAGGCAAAGTGGAAACGAGAGTGAAATTCCATCCAGTGGTTCAAATAAAACTTATCATGGAAAGTAAGAGCAGAAGAACAAGAAGAAGAAGAAGAAGAACAAGAAGAAAAGCACACAGAGGTATTAGCTCTATCTAAACAGTGACACTCTGGGATCTTTTTCACTCCTGACAAGTCTCGATGATGTGTACTGGAGTAAGACAGTCACCGCTCGAGGCTGCATGGGAGCCTCGGTGGTGTTTTTGTTGACTTGGCTGGTGGAACTGGAGTCACTGTGCCATTAAGAAGCATGTGGCTAAATACTGTAAACACGGTGTGAGGTCAGATTGTGCCAACTGAACTCGCCCCTCGCCCCTAGCGCCCCGCTCCCCCGCCCACTCCCTCCCAAACACGAAATGTAGATCCAAACAACAATGCTGTGGGGGGGCTACCCACTCGCAGCCCCGCCCCTCCGTGGCCACGCCCCCCTCGACTTTCGATAGATTTTGTACAAAAATACAAGTAAAAAAATCATGACGCACTCAAAAAGTGAGAGAGGTCAGACACTTTAAATAAGAGACACTTCTAGCCCTTCCGCGCTGGGTACAGACAAGTGTATGTGCAGACACACACATACACGCGCACACGAACGAGACCTGTACGAGAACAATACTTCTATGTATAAAAAAATCGGGGCCGGTATAAATACATCAATATAAAAAAAGTCATCTTGACACAGAGGAACTAGAAACTTGAAGCACTAGGCAGAAAGGATGCAGACTAGGATGGGGAGGGGGCGTTGGTCCTGAATTGTGCACTGAGTGTTTTAAGAAAGCTGAGAAAGCATTTCTGAAGTCTGGAGTCAGTTTGTTTGTTTGTTTTTTTTTGAAGTCCTGCCGTTGAAAGAGAAGCTGGTGATCGTGAATTGTGTCCATCCGAATGTCTCACACGTTGCGTCCGTGACGCTGCAATGAACATTTAACAACAGCTAAATCCTCCTCATTCAGGAGAGCATGCGTGTTGAAACTGGAACTACGTTTTTTTAGGGGGGGGGGCAAAAAAAACACACTTGAAGTGTCTCTTTTCCCCCCCCATCAAAAATAACACCAATGTTCAGTTTATTGTCACTCGTCATCCTCATGAGTTAAGAAGCCACGTTCACTTCTTTCTGCTTACATTCACTCCTCCACTGCGTCCAAATGCAAATTAAGCATTTCTCCCCCCCCCCACCCTGCCCGCGCGCTCCCGGCAGAGGCACCGAGTCTGTGAGTAGCGCGCACACGCACCGTCTCCTCTTTCCACTCTATTCCGTGAAAATGGCTCCGGCGGGGAGGGGAGGAGGACGGGGGTCGAAGAGTTCACAACTCGGGAGGGTTCGTCGCGGGTCGCCTCGGCTCGGCTGTGGTTTCAGTAGGTGAACACCAGGTTGGAGATAGTGGACTCCAGCCAGTCTCCTGAGATCATCTCGCTCACCTCCCGAGTGCAGTAGTCTGGGAAGTCAAAGTGGGAGCCGGCGCCGCACTCCCCGAAGCTCCAGTCCAAGTCCCGGTCCAGCTCCGCGTCAGAGAAGCCCATGCCGCCCAGAGACATGCTCTCATAGCCGGGGCTCGGGTTCAGGTCGAGCCGCTCGTCTTCGAACTCCTCATCCGATGAGGATGAGGAGGAGGAGGAGACCGACGACGAGTGGGAGGCTGACGGCGTCGGGGAGGAGGCGCGGGAGTACCTGAGGCGCGCGGTGGGGGACGACTCGCCGCCCGCGGGGCTCTGCTCCTCGTACAGGCTCAGCGGGTCGCCGGGTT